TACTCCCACACTACTTGACACTACTCTCACACTACTCCCACACTACTACAAAATTACTCTGACAACACAACTCAATCATTACTCTGACATTAGTCCAACATTACCCTTAAATTACTCCACATTTCTCCATATTACCCTGACATTACTCTAACATTACTCCCACATTACTGCAATATTACTCCATGCCAGTACATTTCAGCAGCTTGGTGTTAGAAGCCCAACAATCAGTTGATTCCTGGTGGCTGAGAGAATTCCTTTCTCTAATATTAATGGGGCTTTCATGATGTGAAACAGACTGGCAAAACGAGAAGGGTCATGTTTGCCACGATTCATCCCACATTCTAACAGCAAAACAAAAGCAACTTGCTTTCCCAATCAACATGTTGCCAATGAGAAGTAGCATTTTCTGGAACCTTCACTAACTGCAGTGTTCTGTCTCTAAGCTGCCAACATTAACCAAACCTCAGCCAGCAGGCAAGCTGCTAGCTAAGGGTCTCTGTGGTTACCCTGCCTTCTGTTTGAAAGGACCATCCATCACTAACACCAACAGGAGGTGGCCTTATGTCAAATGCTGGCTATTTTTTATGTTCTCTTTCCCTCACAGAGGAGAGAACTGCTGGCCATGATGAAAGAATCTGTGCACTTGTTGTTGATTTTCAGGCGAGCTGGGACAGTGTGGGAACATGCTTGTACAGTCTTGCCCCGCAGTTTTTTCAGGAGTGAATGGGCATCTTGTGTCTTACTGCCAGACACAGCTCAATGATCCTTATCTTCCCAGCCAAAAAGACAACATTGCTCTGCTTCAGTTGCAGAGGAGCATTCTCAAACTTGGCCAAATCTTTTCCTCCCTAGAGCCAAATACCTTTACCCTGAAGAGCCAAAAACATAAAGACCGCACCTAGTACCCGCTGAGATTATCGGTTTGATCATTTTCTGTTGCTGGGAAGTGAGAGTGACTGGCAAGGTCAGTATTTACTGTCCATTTTCTGCTGTCTACATGGTGAAGATATGCTGATAATCCCAGCATCACAGATACCAGGCTCCAGCCAATTCGATTCACTCCACAAAGTATCAGAGGCACTGGATACTGCAAAGACTTGTACTCCAGAACTTGCCACTCCCCTAGCCAAGCATTTACCCGATAATGTGGAAAATTGCCCAAGTATGTCCTGCACATAAAAAACAGGACAAATCCAACCCGGCCAATTACCACCCCATCAGTCTACTCTCAATCATCAGTAAAGTGATGGAAGGTGTCAGTAACAGCGCTGTCAAGCAGCATCTGCTCAGCAATAACCTGGTCTGTGACGCCCAGTTTGGGTTCCGCCAGGGCCACTCAGCTCCTGACCTCATTACGGCCTTGGTTCAAACATGGACAAAAGAGCTGAACTCCAGAGGTGAGGTGAGAGTGACAGCCCTTGATATCAAGACTGCATGCAACTGAGTGTGGCATTGAGGAGTCCCAGCAAGACTGGAATCAATGGATAGCAGGGGGCAAACGCTCCGGTGGTTGGAGTCATACCTGACACATAGGAAGATGGTTGTGATTGTTGAAAGTCAATCATCTCAGCTCCAGGACATCTCTGCAGGAGTTCCTCAGGGTAGTGTCCTTGGCCCAACCACCTTCAGCTGCTTCATCAACAACCTTCCCTCCATCATAAGGTCAGAAGTGGGGATGTTCGCCGATGATTGCACAATGTTCAGCACCATTCGTGACCCCTCAGATACTGATGCAGTCTGTGTCCAAATGAAACAATGCATGTTGTCCCGGTTTGGGCTGGTTAACGACAAGTAACATTCGCGCCACACAAATGCCAGGCAATGAACATCTCCAACAAGACTAAATCCAACCATCACTCCTTGACATTCAATGGTGTTACCATCACAATCCTCCAATATCAGCATCCTTGGCATACCATTGACCAGAAAAAGAATTGGACTAGTCACATAAACAAAATAGCTACAAGAGCAGGTCAGAGGCTTGAAATACTGCAGTGAGTAACTCCCCTCCTGACTCCCCATAGCCTGTTCACCAAGGCACAAGTCAGGAGTGTGATGGAATACTCCCCACTTGCCTGGATGGGGGCAGCTCCAACAACACTCAAGAAGCTTGACACCATCCAGGACAAAGCAGACACTTGATTGCCCTTGTCTTTCTAGTTGTTTGTGCTTGTGGATTTGGAAGGTGCTGTCTGAGGATCTTTGGTGAATTTCGGCAGTGCATCTTGTAGATGGTACACACTGCTGCTACTGAGTGTCGGTGGGGGAGGGAGTGGGACGTTTGTGGATGTGGTGCCAATCAAGCGGGCTGCTTTGTCCTGGATGGTGTCAAGCTTCTTGAGTGTTATTGGAGCTGCACCCATCCAGGCAAGTGGGGAGTATTCCATCACACTCCTGACTTGTGCTTTGTGGACGGTGGGTAGGTTTTGGGGAGTCAGGAAGTGTATTAGTCCCCCGGGTATCCCTAGCCTCTGACCTGCTTTTGCAACCACTGTGTTTATGTGGTGAGTCCAGTTGAGTTTCTGGTTAATGGTAATCACCAGAATGTTGATAGTGAGTGATTCAATGATGGTTACACCATCGAATATCCAGAAATAAGGTCAAGTTCTCTCATAACAGAAACAACGTTGCTGGAAATGCTCAGTAGGTCTGGCAGCATTGTGAAGAAAAAAAACAGAGCTAACGTTTCGGGTCCGGTGACCCTTCCTCAGAACTCAAGTTGTCTCATGTTGGAGATGGTCATTGCCTGGCATTTGTGTGGCGTGAATATTATTTGTCATTTCTCAACCTGAATGTTGTCCAGGTCTTGCTACACATAGGGGTCTGGATTGCTTCAGCATCTGAAAACTTGAACAGAACTGAACTCGGTGCAATCATTAGCAAACAGGCCCATTCTGAATCCATGATGAAGGGTCATTAGAGGGAGCTCATTGGAGAGATGGACAGTGCAGCACTGCAAAGGAGAGAAACCTTCCCAGCTGTCTGTCCCTCTCCGTTTTGTTGCTGTGATCTGAGAGCAGCTTTAACACTATTTGGTCGCGGTGACCTGTGGAAATTAGGCTTACCTCCGCTATCACTGCCACACAGCCAATGATAGCCGCTGCTTTAGCCTGGGCACCACTCATCCCACCCAGTCCCGATGTCACAAACACTTTGCCGCTGAGATCGTCCAGCCCCAGGTAGCGACGGCCCGCGTTCAGTACAGTCAGCTGCAAAACACAAACACACAGCGACTTGAGACCATCCACACTCACTCAGGATGGGGCTGTGCTCATGACTTCGGAGCTTGTGCTATAAAATGGTGCAATGGTTCAGTCACTGGGCTGGTAACCCACTAAACCAAGATAATCTCCAGCATCTGCAGTTCCTACTATCTCTAAACCAAGATAATGTTCTATTGATATGGTTCAGGACACCTCATCAAATCCAAATTCAAAACATAAAGGAGGGAGGGAGCGCCGCACTGTCAGAGGGTCAGTACTGAGGGAGCGCCGCACTGTCAGAGGGTCAGTACTGAGGGAGTGCCGCACTGTCGGAGGGTCAGTGCTGAGGGAGTGCCGCACTGTCGGAGGGTCAGTGCTGAGGGAGTGCCATACTGTCAGAGGGTCAGTACCGAGGGAGTGCCGCACTGTCAGAGGGTCAGTACTGAGGGAGTGACACACTGTCGGAGGGTCAGTGCTGAGGGAGTGCCGCACTGTCGGAGGGTCAGTGCTGAGGGAGCGCCGCACTGTCGGAGGGTCAGTGCTGAGGGAGTACCGCACTGTCGGAGGGTCAGTGTGTTGGATGAAGCAACAAAATGAGAGGCCATATGTTGTCCTAAGGTGGATCTACAAGGTACCAGTGCATGTATTGGATGGAGAACCGGAGAGTTCTTTCCAATCTCTGGCCACTTTTTATCTCTCAGTCAATATCTCTAAAACAATTGACATGGTTATTTGCAGGAGCTTGTTGTTTGCTAATTGGTTGCTGTGTTTTCTATATTAAAATGTTAAATTTCAATGGTCCTTCATTCATTGTGAAGGACTTCGGAACAAACTGAAGTAATACAAGGCGCTATAGAGGTGGAGACTTTAATTTTGTCAATTTGATCACCTCAATCAGTACCCGCACCTCCCTCTCACGTTCAGTCGCATCCTTCTTAAATGGCTTATTATCTGTGCAGGGTTTGTTTAATAACTCACTTTCATCTGACTGGATCCAGTGTGGTTTGCCTGGCTTTGACTGATAGATACATTTGGGACATTTAAGCGACTCTTGAATAGGCACATGGAGGATAGTAAAATGTAGGATATGCAGGGTAGTTTGATCTTAGAGTAGGATAATAGGTCAGCACAACATCGTGGGCCGAAGAGCCTGTGCTGTACTGTCTATGTTCTATATTCTAGAAGTCATGGAAAGCAGCTCAGTGACAGTAACAGAGTGGCAATGTGACAGCCTGCAGCTCCTGAGGTTACTTCCTGTTGAGTAAAAGCTGCCTGTTTGATCACACAATGTTATATACCTGAAGACAATGACTCTTCATAAAAATAAGGATAAACAGATGTAACAGCAACTTAACAACACATGTCTCTAATAAACAGCCCAGCAAATAATACCACTTCATCTGTAGAAAAAAAACCAAGGACTGCAGATGTTGGAAATCAGAATCAAAAACAGCATTTGCTGGAAAACCTCAGCAGGTTTTGGGAATGTCTGTGGAGAGAAAGAGGTGTTAACGTTTCAGGTCCAGTGCCCTTCAGAACTTAGTTTCTGAAGGTTCACCTTCAGCTTGAAAGAATAGAAAGAACTTTACTCTGTATCTAACCCCGTGCTGTCCCTGTCCTGGGAGTGTTTGATGGGG